TTGTTTTCCACATAACATCTATTAATGCCCAATTTTTAATAATAACTAATAACAGTAGTATATAGTTCTAAGATAGACAAGGCTACATGCTGAGACCCCATCTCAAAAAATTCTAAATAAATAAATAGTAATGGTAGGAGATGAAGTCCTGTACCTTCCCTCTTGGGATATAGGTCATCCTTTTGTTCAGTGTGCTCACACTGTATACACTACCCACCTCCATTTCTGAAACCACCTCCGTTATCAAATCAACTGATGTACTAATGAAATGCTTATGTTCGAATAACACTTTTAGTATAATAAGACACAAATTTTTAGTATGATAGGTTATGGTTCTCCTAGCATTCATCACTAATGTCCCTAATTTATAAGTTATAATTCACAGATATCTACACTTAGAAAAAAACCATAGTATATAGAGTTTGATGTCATCTATAATTTCAAGCATCCTCTCAGTGTGCTATAATATGTACAATGCAGATAAGAAAAGACCACTATGTCGACTGTCAAATTCATTAAAACATTGTTCTAATCTCTGAAAAAGTGAATACGATAAAATTTAATTCAGGATTTTCACACTGCTCGTCTTTAAACGTCATCCAACTGCAAATTCGGATCCTTGTGCATTGCCTTCTTGCTTGAGGGATAAAGTTCCAGAGCAATCCAGAGTGGCTGCACACACCAGAGAGTGTGTGCAGGCTTCCTCTTTATCTGAGACTCCGCCCTCCCCGTTGCCTTTCTCCTTTTCCCTCCACCCCACTGCAACCCTTGGGCCCGCCCCGTGGGGCGGGGTCCTTCCCGGAGGCTGCGCACTAGGGCCCTTAGCGGACACGCCTCCGATTCTCGGGCTATGACTGGCTGCTTGCTCCTGCTTGCTCAAGGCTTCTCCTTGGCTTTCTCTCTTCACTGCAGAATGGGGCCGGCTCCGCGCATCCTGGAACTGTTCTACGACGTGCTGTCCCCCTACTCCTGGCTGGGCTTTGAGGTGACGCGGGGCAGCTGCGCGGGCTGTGGCCTGCGAGGCGAGTGCAGAGTGAGGCACAGGTTACCGGGCTGCAGAAATTCCTGGCGATACCCTCGGGGCTAGAACAGGGTTCAGACCTTTCCCAGGTTGAAGTTCACTTTGTGCCTTTAAACGGACCTTGACTCCTCCAAGTAGGGTCCTGGTCCTAACTAAGGTCAAATACTCTCTTTCCACAGACCCTAGAAAGAACATGGGCAACGCCAGTGAAGCTAGGTCAAGTTCTAGGAGGGGCATCAGGGGTGCTAGGACTCTCTACAGGATGAAAACCATACGCTCGGGTATGCATTCTGGAATCTATTTCAAAGAGCTGAGAGTTTTTTCCTATTCAACCAAGCCGTTCAGTGTGGAGTAGCCATCCCTGCCTTGCACTTAGAGCCAGGAGACAGCCCTGTAGGCCACTTAAGCCATATGTTCTCAAATGCTACACAGGTTCCCCTTCTTACCTCTACACTTGTAGGTCCTATGCAGATACCAACACCTCTGGAATATCAAGCTGCAGTTGCGGCCCGCTTTAATCGCTGGAATCATGAGAGACAGTGGTAAGCATGAAGGAGCCTCCCTCAGTGGACAAGGAGACTTGCTCTCTGTGGTCAGAGGGCCTGTCCTGCACTGAGTATGCAGAACTCAGACCAAGTTAGTAGTTTGCTTTTTACAGGAGTGGTTCCCCAAGCCTGAGACCCTTATGTCCACACTCAACTACTTGTCTTCACTCTCCACTGCCAGGAAACCAGCCACCAGCTCTGGTTCCCCGCAAAGGCCAGTATATAGTCAACGAGATTCCTCTCCTGAAGCAGCTCTTCCAGGTTCCACTCAGTGTACCCAAGAATTTCTTTGGTGAGAGTGTTAAGAAAGGTAAGGAGGAGGCTGGAAAAGATTACTAAGCAGTTAGCACACACACTAGCTGCTCTTTCAGAGGTCCTAATTTAATTGCCAGCACCCACATGGTAGGTTACAACCATCTATAACTCCAATTTCAGAGGAAATAGAAATAAATAAATAAATAACAGAAGACAGTATGAGCATTTGGGTATCTAGTGGAAAACAGACCAGTCAGGGGCTTTCTTAGGATATCAAGAGGTAAAACATGCTTGGATAGGCATCAGCTAGTCAAAAGTGAGAAGAGGGCAGAAACAATGACTGAGAAAAGGAAATCCATTATGAGAAACTGGGATTGGATTAAAGACT